AACCGCTTGGACAAACATGGGCTGGGAGCCACCTCAGGTGAAACGCCAAAGCATCTTTAATAAATAAAACAATTTCTCTCAGTGGCATGAAGCCATAAGGGAGCTTCGGTATTTGAAGCTTTGCAAAAACACCAGCCCAGCCCTCCTGTGGAAAAAGAAATGGACCTTTGTGCTCCTTGTGTAAATTTATACTTTTCTAAGCGCAGCCTTTTAGAAACAGCTATAGCCAGGGGGGCAATTAATTCAATTCTTTCCAGAAGATTTTTAGCTCCATAAAACTCATGTATTATTTAAGCCTCACAGCTAATCCACGAACATGATCAAGGTCCAGCTTTTTCTTTGTGCACACACACACGCGCGTGGAAAAAAAAAAAAGGACATTTTGGTGAAAGCCCTCTGGAAAAATGCCCCCAGATTCCCTGGCTACCAAAAGACCTTTCATTTCTGCAGTGAGTCTGATGGTACCGGACTCCCTCCACCAGCGGATCTCTGTTTCAGTGGGGTCCTTGCTGTGCCTAGCCTCAGATTCCTACAGCAGCATCACAGGAACATCATCCAGGGTAAAAGCCTCAGCCAGGCCGTTTTCTCCTGCATCTGCGCTCCTAGCGAGATTCAGGTCTTCCCAAAGATGATGCAGTAGAAGGCTGCTGATCTTCCCTCCCAACCTGGGTAACTGAAATCAGCTGGATGAAGAATCCTTATACATAGAGACAAGTGCCATTAGCAAACATGAAATAAGTCCACTCTGTAGTATGTAAGCATTTTTCAGAACAACAGTTATCCTGACTGAGAAAGTGCCAGCTTTGAACGCCTAATGCAATGCATTAGCTTTGCTACTGGCCTGTGTTTTGCCTTTAGGAAAGGCCTGAGGGCCACCAGCGCTCTGGAGCAAAACAGAATCCAGTTCTCCCTGGCAGTTTCATGAATCTGAACACTGGAGAAGTGTGTGTAAAAACGAGGGTAGAGCTTTACTGGCAAGAATTTGTGTGGTCTTCCTTGCATTTCTGAGCCCTAAATTCACAGAGGTGGTCCTCCTCCCCTCTGCAACACTTGGCTCCAGTTCGGCAGCAAGTGTGCAGCTAAAGCCTTCCGACAAATACCAGACATATGGTATGATCTACATTTTCTAATGGCCAACCAGTCAGTCAAAACACTTGTCTTTGAAGAAATATAACCTGGATTTAAACACACCAAATGCTAGATCCTTTGCACTCAACAGCCATTAAACACATTAAGCATGCACAAACAGAAGAGCGCAATACATAGACAGAACAGCAGTCACCCCGAGAAGGCACAGGGAGCCCCAGCCAGTTCACAGCTCCCAAGAGGGTGATTGTGAGCATCGCTGATAACGCGTCCAGGAGTTCTAGCTCTGGCTGGTTTTAAACAGAAGCAGATTTTCTAGAAATGTGCATTACTGCATGTTCCAAGTGCTGTAGCTGTCAGTCAGCTTTCCACGAGTTATTACTTCTGTGTATTGAGAGTGGTTTGGGAACTAAAGGTTGTCTTGTCACTTCCACGCTCCATAAACAGTATAGATGCTGGAATATGGTAATATTTACTCCTGTTTTGCCATCTGTTTATATATGCACATAAAACATGTGACTCCCAGAATGTGGAGCAGCAGAATAACAGCCATAGCTTTTCATCACAAGATAAAGGTACAAAAATCGATACACATCTTTTCTTTTTAATGAAAAAGGTACTATTGAACAAAAGAAAGAAGAGGAGATATAGTAAAAAAAACCCCACACTTTTCAACAGAATATATACTCCTTAGCTTTGGCTTTTACTAAAGAGTTGGTGTTTCAAAAAAAAACCAAACAACCCCCTCCCCCCAAATCCCTACCATCTTGGTTATGTAATCAGTAAAAAACAAACCCAAAACCAGAGGACCAAGTTGTTTGTCTTTAGAAGAGAAGATCCATTCTAGCTCTAGGTCAGGTTGCAACGGGACGAATGTCCCCAAACACCCTCCCACCTGAGCACCCTGACGTACCTTAGAAAAACCCCAAGTTCTCGTACAGATTTCCAGGCTGAAGAGAAGTTGTGTTTCTTCCCTCCCTCACAGAGCCAGAGCAGAATGGAGGAAGATGGCAGCCAGCCCTCAGCAGCACCAGCCTAATGGCTGCTCCCCACCACGTGTTCCCACTGTGCACAACACAAAGCCATCACAGCCCCCACCCGCAAACACCTCCGACAGGGGATGGGGAGCTTTCACACAGGTGTTTATTGTTAAAGTCAGCACTGAAGACAGACCTCAGACTGGGAGTGTGCTTAAATTACTCTCTAAATCAGATCAACCTGGCCAATTCAAGCTTAAAGACCCTCTGTTTCCCTCAAATAACAAATTAATCCAAACAATTAGTGTTTAAAATGATAAACCATGTCCACACCCAGGCTCCTCGCCACACAGGAAAGCATCCAAGACAATTTCACTGTCGAGCCTTTCAAGAACAGACTGGTATCTGCAAAAGGTATTTCCCAGAAGGGCAGACCTCAGCACAGGTAACTCCACACTTCAGTTTATTCTGAAAAAAGCCGATAAAGGAAGGTGGATTGACTGGAGGGATGATGCCTCTGCTGATCTCCAGCCCACATGAAATGAGAATTTTGCATTCTCCCTGGTCTTAGGACACAGATTATTTGGATATTAAGAGATTTTTGGTCATTTTGTTTTTTTTCTTAGGGCAGGGAAACTACTGTCATGGGTTGGGACGTGGTGTGTCTAGTTTAAGGCCAATCACAACATTTGAAATTGAGTTGTATAATGTTTCATAGAAACCTCAAACTCTCCATGGCCATCTGCCCCAGATGGTTGCTCTCTAACAGACAGCACAAGCAATGTGTTAGAGCATTTGGTTTATTATCAGACCCCATGGATGCTGCACTTTACAACTTGCACCAGTATGGCTCCTCTGCTATCACATTTCAACAAGTCACCTCTTTGTTAAACAATTCTTTTCCTGCTGGTTTGGGACACGTAAGTTGCCTACAATCAGTACTTTCACCCAGAAGGGGTCACACTTCCAGTTTCTCACAACTGTAAAAATAAGCATGAACATATATTCTGTGTCCCATTCCACTCCAAGGGAAGGGCTGCATCCCAGGCCACGCGCAGACCACTGCCCATCTGCTGGCAGTGGCAGGTCTCAGCCTGAGCTTTAGACAGCCACCCCATCCACATGTGTGGACCCTCTCCCCCATTAGGGTTACACACACACACACCTGAAGCCCTTTCAGTTGAAGATTGTAACTTAAGACACTTAGGGAATGAAGATAACTTCTTACAGGACTGTGCTTCTGCAATCTAGAGACAGTAGCTGAATGCAGAGCAGCTATGAAAGAACATTGAGTGACTATAAAGGAATTAAAAGACTCATTTTACAGTGCATTTAATTAAAAGTTCATTAGAATAACTTTCTTTTAAGAACAGCATACCACATATCAATGGAAATATGGGACTGTCACCATATTATTCTTACAATTCAAACATATGAAAAATAAAATATGATATTTAGCTTTATAAATTCCCCCTCCCCCCCTTAAATCCTTTTTCTTTTAAATAACAAAAGTATTAACTCTTTCTCAGTACAGTCTGGGAGCCACAAACCAAGTAGTCACATCAATGCCAAGGAAACAGCAACATTGTTCGCAAAATATTGAGAGAAAATGATTAAAAAAAATATAGTAGTCAGCCCAGTGCTTACAGAAGAGACAGTCAACAAGAATTGAAAGAACAGCACATTTTCATATTACATAGGACCATTATAATAACATAGAAAACAGTGCAGAAGACTTATGCTGGAAAAATATATAGCAATTCTCAGCAAGCAGAAACTGAACTTTGGCACTTGCTCATAAAAAGGCCTTTCAAAGCAAAACAAAACGGAAATTCACTTCATCACAGCTTGTATATTTAAAAAAAAGACATTGACTAAAGCAAGAGAAACAATAGAGAAAAGTTTACAAGCCAGGTCACTAGGAATTCAGTACATTCAGCCTACAGAGAATACAAGTACAGTCTTTGATCCATCTATCTACGCTGGGATCCTGGCCAGCGAAAGACAGGCGTTGGGACAGAACCTTTCGTGAAGCATCTCTGTGTCAATGGAGCTGTGCTGATTACACAGCCCTTTCTCCAAATTGAACTAGAGTAGCATGTCTCAAATACATTCCCTCCGTATCACAAAATAAGGATTTCTAATCTGCAAATTAAAAAGCAAGACCCTTGCACTCAGACAGTGGCTGTTCTGCTCTACCCATAGCTGCACCATAACCACTGTAGTGTAAGGATTAAGCGGTTTCTTCAAAAAGGGCTAAAAAAGAATGGCTTCAATTCAAAGGGGAGACGATAGAATGGAAGGAATGATTCACATTTAGCCTGTTAATCTTGGCGCTTTGTCAGTGCTGCACATTACCAGAAGGAGTACTATAGTTAACGTGCACGGCTGTTCCCCATCCTTGCCAGAAGAACTGACGTACTAAACTCGGGCTGAACCAAGGCTGCTGCAGGCCAAGCGTATTTTGGATCAGGCCGTAAGAAAGCAAGGCCTGCTCTAGCCAAGAAGTGCTTCTTTCTCTGTCAGGCTCAATGCCCCAAACTAGCAGCTATCTTTGCACTGAGGCAGTTTACTCAATTTCTTTATTCTTGTGAGGAGTTAAGACTGGGGAAGGGCAGGGGGAAAAATAAGTGCTTTAGATTGCACAGAAGATTGTCCTACTAAAGGGGGCACTTGAAAGGGAAATGATTGCAGCTATAAATCTAGCAGACGCTCCTCGCATGTCTCCACAGGCCATTTAGTAGCACCTCCAAACACGTCAACGTTGTTATCAACCCAGGGTATGATGTTGCCAGGCATGTTGGTAGAGCAGTTAGCAATATTCATGATGTCTTCAGCTTTTAAGACCCTGTCCCATATATTGAACTGGCTCATCTCCCCAACGAAGGCTTGAGTTGCATCAAATCTTCCTCCTACTGTGTCCTTTAGGCACACAAGAGTTAGGATTAGATGAGAAGGTTATTTCAGCATTTTCTTCTTCAAACTTCAAGACCCCCCCTCCCCAGCCGCACTGCTAGAAGGAGGTGCAGAGCTAGGTCACACAGATGAACTTCAAGTTTCTGGAAGGGCTACTTTGAATAAGATGTTCTATGGAACAGTTAAAAGCTCCAATCTGGAGTATGTCAAAACAATTCAAAACAAACACTAGTGACTACATACCATCATGCAAAGGCTATACGTAACTAAACCTGCCCCAAGCAGTAGGGCAGGAAGGCAGCTTTAAACATTGATGCTAATTTAGGAGCCATTTTGCGAGCTTGGAACAGGATAACTTCTGCAAGAACTGCAAAGATGTGTAAGATTACTCCAAAAGCTTTATGGCTACAATTAAACTGTAACTGCAGCCCTTGATCAATTGTCTGCAGGGCCCAAAAGATGAAATCTTTGGACCTAAGTAGACAGGCTTCTTCTGGTTGTACCAGATGACTCCATCAAACTGCTACTGCATAAGCCTAGAAGTGTTTGCTTGCTCCATACATGACTCGAGGACAGAAGTCACCCCTTTTGTGCGATCACACTAACATGAAACTGATAGCATAGGATAGAACCATGCACAGTACAGGCAAACGGCTTGAGAGTTACAAAAACCTGCCAGTTACTTACTACCAAGCTGGAGCATCTGCTATGCAGAGTGTATTACCATTCTGAATTTACCATTCTGTGATTTATGTCATGGATAAGTATCTGCTAAAAATCAGTATCAGGGCAAAACTAGTTTTCCATTGCCCCACTGTGAACCTGGGAATCCTGGGGAAAGGCTATTTCCTGCTACTTATTACAATTATTTTTTTTTATATGTATAACCATACAAAGAACAGGTAGAAAAAAATGTGAAGATAAGAGCCACACAACTCATAAGCAATAGCTCAATGTGACATTAACTAGAAAAGCAAGGTTCAAAATCCTTTGGGTTTTCCCCCCCCCCAGTATTCAAAAAGGACTTATCCTTAACCTCATGAATGCTTCCTGTTCACAGTACTAATATTCAAACTTTATTAGCATTTGCATTAAGAAAGTTATTTACCTACATCTTTAATGAGAAAACAAACATCTGATTTAGAGTTTTTTCCCTTTGACTTCAGGCTCTTCTTTAAAGTAGACATCAAATTCCAAATAAGTGACAGACTCCACTACTCCAAAAATGTGTTACGTACCTGAAAAGCTGCAGAATTCAGTCTGGAGGGAGTCTGACACAGCAGGCCAAATCATAAGAGATCCTGATATACCCACATGCACTCCAGCACCCATAGTTGTTCATCCCCTCACCCCCCCCACATACACTTTCCTTGGTCTATTCCGGGGCTCAAGGATTAACATTCATAGTATTCTTGGCATAAAGAGGAAGGGAAGGGGGAAAAAAAACAGTAAACTGCTAAGGGGGCAGTCAATTTCACTTCAATTAAAAAAAACATAAAACAAATCAAAGCCATTATACTTGGTCCACTTTCAGCAAGCTCCTTTTTGACTGCTGATACAACATCACTGGCCAAATTTGTCCTTCTCTGTAACTTCAGTGGCCACATTGCTAGTTACCAGCAATCTGGCTCAAAGGATTTAATTTAAGGCATTATTCAGATCAGTGACAGAGTTGCATGCTGTAGCAGTAAGAGTGGGAATAGGGATAGCTGCAACATGAATATTCTCAATATTTAAAGAAAATATACCAATGTGTGATTGCATTAAGTATTTGTTGATTTGTTTCAATCTTTCTGATACTGTGTATAGGGAGCAAGTGTTTGACAGAGAGAAATTTTCTCACAGCTGCTGTTTGTTTGGGGAGTTTTGATTTTATTTTTTCAAACCCTGGAACACACTGTCATTCACTCACCTGTTCCTGACCCAGGATCAAGACTCCTCCAGGTTTAATTGGGTGCCAAGGAGCAAGATTCTCCCCGGTGCCAAGCTTCTCTCCATCCTGAAAAGCCTCCCACATTCCATCTCTGGTTGTCCATGTTATACAGATATGATGCCATTTTCCATCACTAATGAAGAGAGGGAGCTGGGCAACCTACAAAACCCACAGAATAATGCATGTTGCAAACCAAGTCAGTCTACCAGTTCAAGCACAACATTTAAAAAGGGACAGTATTTACTCTGTGCTCAGAAGCAAAAACTTCAGAGGCAGAAGTTAGTCCACATCTTTCTACTTTGTCCCAGCTGTCCTGTATTCAGGAAAACAGCCACGCTTTTTATTCTAGCTTTGAGCATTTGTTTCACCTCAACTCAAGTGACACAAGTACGCGAGTCTAAGTTGCTATCAATCCACTGATCCTGCATATTAATTTGTGGCATTTGTTGTTTAAATCTCAGTGCTTAGAACTAACTTTCCATCTAGTGCTCACGTTAAGTTCCTCTTAAAATCTGTGGTTTGCCTGCACCATTTGCAGTAACAACTCTGACAAATGGATCTGCCTGCTTCTAGTAAAACTTGTGGAAACTGTTATGTAGGGCTCCAAATAAGGACGAATTATGCTCCTTTAGGAACTTGATCTAAAAACTCACTCAAGTCAACATACAGACAGAAATGCAGTCAGCTATGGACCAGCTGTGATGTGGGAGAAAGAAAAGCCTCTCAGAACCTTAATAGTACTGATGTAACACTGGAGAGCAAAAGTTATCACTAAGGATAAACAGACTCAAGTTTCCTTCTCTTCCACAAACCATTAAAAATAATCAGCTTTTTACTTTTATTGATTTGAGAGGATGACAGGACTGTTAGAAGTCCTTAACTAGCCACATGACTGAACCACACGAGATGTGTCATAGATCTGTAAACACCCAGTCCCTCAGAGAGCAGCAAGTTACTAGGAAACCTAACAGAAGGTGGGGAGAAAGAAAGTATTTATGATCTGTTTTAATGCAAAGTTTCAACAGGCCTTGTTTTCCTCAAGCATCATTCTGAAGCTTGTCAAACTATCAATGGTGTGAAGTAGTGCAAGACAATTGTTGCTTTTTGTAACTTAAGTCTGAAAAAAAACTGTATTGAAACTGATGTTCAGTCACTAAGCATAACACCACCAGCCACAATTACATGCCTTTTGCTATGTCTTCTGCAAAATTTGTTTTAACATATCTGAACTTCTAGGATTAGAAAGACAGAAACACTACAACCAACTTAAATCTCACAGATTTTGCAGGAGTGTGACTTCAAATATAAAACAAAAAAACAAGAAACCAAAACCTGCTTGTAAATTCAGATGACATGTAAGTGTTTGCACATCTAGAAGTCATGCTGCTTCGTCTCAACAAACAAATAGATGTACCATTTGACTTTGTTTCAAGTACTTGTATGAACTTGCAACAAACAGCTGGACAGCAGACAAGTAGACACTACCATCTCAAAGGCCCAGAGCTGAGAGAGGTACTAGGGAGGTACTAATGGCGAGGGCTTAATCTGATTAAGTAGACAACAAAGAAGAGTTAGTCAATTCTCACCTTATCATTAATTAGCAGTTCAATTGGATTATTCCCCCATTCTATGAGGACAATTTCATTAGCCTGCCCAGGAACAGCATACGAGAATGGAGTGCCAATTCCAGGAGAAGCACTGGATCTCAGCCACAAGCACACAGTGAAGGCATACAGCTCTGGCAGAGTCTTCTTGATCTTCCCATACAAGTAGTTTGTGCGAAGAGGAAGGGAGACTTTGAACTCATCAGGTGACTTAAATGCACTGTTGCCTAGAATGACATTAAGGAAGAAATCCTTTTAACATTAAACAAAACAATGTATCTGTAATTCAGGTTAAGAAACAATATAATTGATACTGAGAATCTCTGGAATTTTTATCACTTTATAGAGGTACACAAAAAATTGTATTGAAGTAGTATTACTGAATGTTGATTTTGCAGCACAGAAAAATACTACTAGATTTTATACACATCATCCTAGTTTAATTTTCCTGCTCATTTAGAGCAAGAGAATAAGTGGCAGACAACTAATGAGAGGCTGTTAAATATTTTCTTTTTACATTCCTTAGTTCATAGCTAGAGGCCTATTTCAAATAATTCAAACTGGTTTAAAATATATTTACTGTTACTAAACATGGATTCTCTAGTATGCTCATTATTAAAGCATCACAGAACTTCAAATCATAGAATCATCAAAATCAGTATTTCTTTTCCTACTACTGCTACACAGGGAGCCAACAGCAGCATCCCCGTTTTACCCATAGCAGGCTGAGAAATGGGTTGACGCTCTCATTTTGGGTGGCCAATCTAAAACACGTAAAAGCTGACAAAAGAAGAAGAGGGCAAAGTTAAATTCAGTAGAACTGATTTCTGTCCCACAGACAAATCAGGAGGAGACCTGAACAAAAACCATTAAGCTGAAATTCAAAGTGACCTGAAGAAATATGCAATATAAAGTTATGAATTATGAAAACATTCAATTTTTTAATATAAAAGCAGAATTATGTAGCTTTTTCTAAAAAATGTGATAAAAACCAGCAAGATATTCCAGAGATGTTCATGAAATTGAGAACTCAAAGACCAAAAAACTTCGGAAAGTTGCAATACTCTGCATTATATAGTTTGTACATCCTTCTGATGTAGTTGCTTATAAGCAATTTTCTAGAATTAAATATTGAGAGAAATCCCACATTGTGCCACAAAATAAAACACCACAATTCTGTAGTAGAGTGTCACCCTCAACCTTTTAGCAACCTGTTCTTTTGAGTCCCACTCATTTCCTTTACTCACATTCCTGAAACAAATTCAATCCCCTTGCCAAACTTCACACTCCAATGCAAATGAAGAGCTGTTGTCACAAAAGGTTGCCACAATTCTCATATGTAATTTTTAAACTACTGGCATTCTCTCAGTTCCCATTCTGAGAAGCAGCTGAAGTGTTTTGACTGCATTTTTCACAGAACGAGGGGGTGGAAGAAGAAAAAGCTTGGCTAATGCTTGTATCTGTCTTGAGGAACTTGCAGACCAAAACCAGAATTTTTTTAAATTCTAAGCAAAAACCACCCCAGGGTCTTAGGGCTAACATTGAGCAACCTCCACTAGGCTGGTACAACCAATCTCACTTTAAAAAAAAAAAAATATCAAAAAAGAAACATACTCCATTAAGAGCATTAGTCATTCTGTGAAAGAACTTAAGGAAGCAATAATGGGTTAGAAAAGAACAAACAATATCCATTTTATATTTTTCAGTTTGCTCTTATGACTTGAAGATATCCACAACTCCAAATGATAACAAGATCCTCCTGTTCTGAGCAATGGGCAAAATGCACAGGGTAATACAATTCTTTTCCTGAAGAATCTGAATTATTTTTGGATAAGACAGGCAAGAAATACTTTTATTCCCTTTTAGAGATGGAGAAAATACATTTATACATAGCAAGTTATGTCTCCAGCAAAGCCGAGAACCACATTTAAGTCCAGGCATTAACAGTTGCAGGATCCCAGTCCTGCTTTTTAATGCATCGTCTACTGCTGTCCATGGAGACAAGCAGTAAAGGAATTACCAGAAGACTTTGGGAATCACAGCAGTTGTACTAACTTGGAAACTCTTCTGCCCCACTGGTAATTAAAGACAGCTGTCACAACTATAGAGGAAAAAATCCAAAGTTAAGGCTAGTTTTTTTCCTTCTTTTAGTCTCAGAACAATGAGGAGGTTATGACACCAGTTAGTTGTCAAAAAGAGATGCTAAACAATATGGCATTTAAAATAAGAGTACAATAGAAATACTATTTTCAAAAGATGTCAGATCACTTCAAATATTGTATGCGTTTAATCTACAAAATCTTTAAGTTCTCAGATCATTATTACCCTCACTTCAATTTGACAGAGTAACCAAAAGAACAGACAAGCCAAGCTGCACTGTAGTAAAATCACACAACTAAAAGAGAACCTGTGTCTTGGTTCCCGGCCCAAATTCTTCACTCCTGGAGACTTAAGACAGCCCTCTCTCCCCACACAAAAAAATAGAGGTGAGAACAGGCTATTTTTAACCTAACTAAATTACACATTCTTATTCTCCCACCACTCCCTTTCTCTTTCTGATGACTTGCTGATATGAGTCACATCTTTCAGAGACAAAGAACTAGCAATACTTGCCATGTAAGACATTAATAGGCCACTAATTCTCCAAAACTTTAGTTGCAGTTTAGGCTCTATCTTGGCTCTCAGGAGAAAAGTGACAGAGCCAGTACAAGATCTCTTCTTTCTCCTTCCCCTTTCCCCTCTTTCACACTTTTTAAAGAAAAAAAAAATAGATACAATATTACACAAATGGATCCATTAGGCTGCATTTTAAAATTCATGAGATATGTACGTTTGCACCATTTTGAAAGCATGCCCATTAAGCTGCTTTTAAGCAGAGAGCTTGTTCACCTTGCAAAATCATTTAAAGACTGGGCAGTGATATTTACTGGTACTCCAGTCCTACTAGTCCACTCTGTGGGTGTATATAGTCAACACAGAAAGATAGTTCTGTTCTTCAGCACTTCTATGGGCATTTTAATTCAAATAAACAGACTCTACTCAAGCATAGGGATCTCAGTAATAATTTATTAAGTACCTGAATAAATTACTAGGATTAAGAGGGTGTCCCCCAGTGGTGCCACGTGTAATCTACTGTAAACTCTGAAGGTTATACAAGTATCTGCAGTTACTCAAAGTTATAACCAGCAACAAAAGGAAAGACCACCAGCAATACTTCCAAAGCAGCAGGAAATGGTTCTGCTATAAAACGCCATTCATTACATCAAAGGCGGTTGTGCTAATTAAATTTAGCCCATATGATTTCCAGTCCAGATAAAGAAAGGCAGCTCTACTTAGGTTCTTACTTGACATTATCTAGGTATTTAACTGACACCAATGTCATACTTGTTCCTATTTTCACCTGCCTTCTTATAAATCTTTCCATCCCATAAACACTAAGAGTTTCATCCTAACCACCCACATATGCCAAATTAAGAGACAGCAAGCCAAAGCCATGCAGAGGCCTGTCAAGCAGAAAGCCTGTGACAAAAGGAAAAAGGGATTCCAAGTATCTGCACTGTCACCTACTGTTTAGTCCAGCACCTTAACTGTCTTTCCCACATATAGACAAATGCACTTAGGAGGCAGTAAACAAAATTAATCAGCATGGGGAAGCATTTAGACTCTGTGCAGATTACCTTTTTCTAATTCCGCCACTCTTTCTAGCAATGCATTCAAGGCTGTCTCTGTCTTCTGCCGATGGGCAGACGTCTCATTATGAAGCAAAGACTTTTCATCCTCAAGCTCAGCCACTTTACTTAGGAGTTGGCGTTCCAGGTCTCCAAGCCTCCGCTGAAGCATCTCTCGAAGGTCATTAGGCAGTGCAGCATATGACACGTTGGCTCGGAGTTGGTGCTTTAGGGAAAACAAGAAGAAAAAAAATTAACTTCTAAAACAGAAACTGTGAAATGCTAATATGCTCCTAACTCAAAGGGAGGAGAACAAGATCACCAAGTTCTCCAGCAAGTACAAGAGAAACATTGCTTTTTAGCACCTGTCATGTTCACTGCTTTAATCAGCACCATAGCTAAACAGGTCCTGAAACAAAGGGGCACTTTTGTTAGAGGCTTCCAGTGTTTCATACAAAGGAGTCTTCATACATTTAAGTTCAATAAAATCGATGTAGGGAGCCAGGTCTGATGCACTTCCATTAGTATGGGTACAAGCAGCACATTAGTCAATTTTTGCTTTACTTACTGCAAGTGACATTGCCAACCTATTTAAACAGAAAAATTGTTGTTTCTTTTTAAATTTAAAAAGCTACTTCAAAAGCAAATTTACCAAATGAAAGTTTCCTCAGTTTTGATTTGCAGAGTAAGGAAGTTGGATGTTCTTTAGGTGAACTGTAAGTATTAGCTAGTGAAAGTATTATTTAAGCAGGGGGGGAAAAAAGACCAAACAAAACCACAACCAATAGCCACATTCTCTCAAATAACACTAGTACCTTCAAGGATGGTAAAACACCAATCGTTCCACCTGTCATATTATTCTAGTGGAGTTTCTCTTCTACAACCCTAAAAAAAGTGCCTCAAAAACACAGTAATAAAAGGATGTCACACTACCAGATCACTCAAAACTGTTCTTGGAAAGCAGTCTAGAGTGTTTAGGCCTCACAGAGTAATCTTCAGGAATTTACTCGCCATGCTCACATCACAGTGACTGTCTGGAGGACAGCAGGAGGACAGGCATGTCACTCTCCGGGTGTGGAAAGCAAAACAACATCCAGCAAGATTCCTGTGGGAATAGTCTCTGTGAGGTGTTTCCATGACTGCTGCTCAGCCACGGGTACTGCCCAAAGGCTCAGGGAAATCACTTCTCGTTGGGCTTGGACCAAATCCCCTTTCTATTCACAGGCATACAGAATCAGGTGCTTTTTAGTCTGTCAGCTCTAAATACATCATATCTTCACAATCTGCCCAACACGATCTCCTCATTACCACTGGTCTGCTCATCACCATATGCTGAGCTCTTCCTGCCCAACACGTCAGCTTTATACCTCAAACCCCACGACATCGCATTCCCAGAGAGATTTAAATCTATTAATATAGAAAGTAAACTGGTGACAAGCAGGAAACCCCTAATATCCCCCTCGCAGCGGGAGAACACATTCCCAGAGGAGCCCTTGAGGTTTTTTACCATTAAAGCAAGCGGATGAATGCTCAAGGAAACAAGACAAGGCGACCAAGCAACTCGTTCCCGAGGCTTGGCCAGTTTGGATCTCTCCATGAAGGCTGTGCCCGCCCAGCGGCCCAGAGCCGCTGTTTTACCTCAGCTCCTCCCCGGCCCCGCGGGCCCGGCCCCCCCCCCGGCCTCCCCAGCCGGTCCTTCAGGGTCTGCATGGTGCGGCTCAGCTGGTCGATGACCTGCGCCGGGTCCCGCGGCAGGTCGCCCATGGTGTCCTTGCCCTTGCCCAGCTCCTTCTTCCAGGTCCCGGGGGCGGACTTGCCGTCGGCGCTCTCGCAGCGGCTCAGCTTGCCAGTGAGCTCCCGGATGGCCTCCCGCTGGCTCCCGATGGTCTCCTTCTGCTG